CTTTGTTTCTGTAAAAGAGAAAAATAACATCAATTAATAAACTGTAATATTAGTATTGTAATCAAATAAAAATAATCGGTAATACAATTCCAGGAATACCCGCCATTGAGTGGGAATTCAAACGTAGGCCTAACCACGGCCGCCGAAAGTGATGCACGCTGTGTGTATCGCCTAGGCCTAGGAAATGTATCTGTGGTGGTTTGATAAAAAAAAAAAAAAAAAGCTTAACGAATCTTTCTGTCACTGCAAAAGACTTTGCAAGTGTGGGAGAAGCATACTCTCCTCAGTATACAAAACATTGGCGAGCCACAAACTAACGCGATAGGAAAGGAAGTTAGCAGTTATGATGGATGATTAATTCTATATAATGTGAAATACCGTTATGTTCGGTTTGGGGTTGCTGCAATCGATCCAACAAAGGAACAAAAATGTATCAATTTCCTTAAATTTCAAAAAGGAGGAGGATTTGGGATTTTATTTAAAATTTAAATGGCGATCGAAAATTCTCGCTATCCACGTAGTATTATTAAGGCATGTGCCGTCCGCCCCACTTCGCGGTAATCCACCTATTACCACTACTAGGCCTAGATTTCAGTACTTCTTCTGCCTAACACCATAAGGTAGTACATAAATCGGCCTATATGCCTAATACTATAAATATAATTACAATGATAAGAGAAAAGGAAGGATTTTCAATGCAGCAATGATATTTCTAAAAGATGCAATGTTACACTTTGTTGTTAAATTATCTATATTTGCAGAAAGCTACAGGAAGTATCAGTCAAAGGCCTAGCCTGCCTAGCTTAAGTTATAATTAACAATAAAAATTGAATCCTCCAATAAAAGCGAAAACTTGTCCAAGGAGTTCTGTGCTATGCAAACCTGCCTAATTATGCTTTACAAATCAATTAATTATGCAACTAAGAAGATTTTAAAGATAAAAAAATTAAATATTATTGTATAATGATTGTTTTAATACATACACTAAATCAAGACGCGCGCACGCTGTTTGGTAACGACATGGCGCCATGCGCCAAGTTGGCCAAACTCTCTCTATTTACGGCTCAGCTCTGGAATGAGGCATTTTACAATAGACTGGATTGCTATGGATATTAAAAATGTTCATGTGTGACCACTTACTCACTAGGATGATAACAACATGGTGACTGGCTGGGAGGGCGAACTTTTTTTTAGCATGAATTTATTCTTACCTGGTAGATTAACTACTGAATATACGAAGATTGTATGGAAAATAAAAGTATATTTGATTTGATTTGATAATTTTACAGCCTGGAACCCTGACTAACTGGCTGTACATAGTAAATAATGTGTTTAGCGCACCTGTATTATAGCTTTATGACATATTTAACCCGATTTTTTAAATAGTGAAAGCTTTTAAAATATTAAGTTTAACCGTAAACATTGTTAATCCTTTAATAATGAAACAATGTACTTTAGATAGCTTATGGATTAAAGTTATAATTTATGTAATATATTAATATTCATCGTGCATACAAATTATGCAGCTCAGGAGAATGGGTCATGTTCATGTTTGTTTATTAGAACCGTTTTGCCTTTTCCGATATCTTGCTCTTACATTATGTGTTCCTTTTTTAATGTAAGGTATGGCAACGTGCAGTATCATGTCCCAGATTCACTTTTTTTTTACATTTTTATGATTATTTTAAGCGCTATAAAATTAGGCCGTTTTAATATCTTGTATTCTTTCTAAAAAGCGCCACCTACGAACGAACTTATTTTACTAACCGCTGGTGATAGTTTGTTTCAGTTTTTATTGGCGCACACTTTTACAACAGTGGCACACACTATTCAGTGGTGCGTCCAGACTAACTAATAAAAAAACAATACAGTAAAATTGAACAAAAGTAAAAAAGGAAACGCAAAGGTAAACAGAAAAATAGTAAAAGAAAAGAAAAACATCACAGAAATACAAAATTCCAAATCAAAGTAAAAACAAACAGCTTTACAGTAAAAAGCAAGAAAGAGATAAACAATTGACAAAACAAAAATCAAAATCAAGATAATATGCAGCATAAGTGTATAGTATAAATGTACTTAATACATACACATACATATAAACATATTGCATATAAATACACACACGTAAATATACACATTCATATATATACATGCATGCATATACACACATACGCACACATATAAATACACATACTAACAAGTATATGAACACACACAGATATATATATATATATATATATATATATATATATATAT